ATACACACTTCCAAGTAAAACTGAAGAGGTTTGGTGTTAGTTAGCCGGCAGGGCCGGAAGGTACTGGAGTCCCATACGGGAGGCAATCCAGCTATAGTTGAGATTTCGGAAGATCTGTCTTAGCAATTCTTTTTTTGTATTTAATTATTTTTTTTTTCAGATTCGTCCCTCAAGGGCGAAAATGTTAGTGAATTCAACAAGGCCCTTATATGCGTCTTGACATAAAGTGAGCACAAGAAATCAAAGAACAACGTAATCATGATAAAACAAGTTAAATGTGAAACAAAGAAGTCGTTTTTGCAATATCCGGGCAGTCTCGACAATATATACATATTTTAACATATAATAAATAATGAGCAATCGCTAATAATAATGGTACCAATTTCACCTTAGAAAAATATACGCCCCTGAGCGTAAGACAATGAAGGCTAAACATATAAAGAATTATTATCATGAAATATCTATGTTTTTTGAACAACGTAATCTGGCCAAAACAAGTTACACGTGAAACAAAGAAATCGTTATTGCAATATCTGGGAGTCATGAGTATATACATATTTTAACATGAAATAAATAAGGAGCTATCTTTAATAATAATTATAACAATTTTACCTTAGAAAAATATATGCCCTTGAGCATAACGCAATGGAAGCTAGACATACAAAGAATTATAATCATGAAACATCTATAAACATCACAATCATAAAATTACATAGAACGATTTACAACAAAGTAGAACAATTAACAACAAAGTACTTAAAGAATATTATCTGCTAACTAATATCGGTTTAAACATTGAATTTTCCACTACTTCTATATTTTTCACACTACACTGACCGTCTTACTTTTCACTCCGCGCTGTTCTCACTTCAACTACTTATGTATTTTCACCGTACACCGATCGTGTTACTTTTCATTCTGCGCTGTTCTCACTTCTACTGTCTATCTTCAACTAACTAGCCTTCTTTCCAGAATCGCCCCACCTAGGCGTTTGCTTTTTTTTGCGCTTCCTTCTACCGACCGTTAATATTACTTTTTCATTATTATACAACACCCATGTATCAGGTGACGTGGAAGTTGATAAGATAAGCACGGTTTTGCACAAGGGACCTACACTTTTAGTATGTGAGTTGTACTGAAGGTATTCCAGCAAAAATTAGCTTGCTCCCTCTTACATCTAAGCAGTGGGATATTTCGACAGATCCTCCCTGATCTATAAGACCTCTAAATATTAATCGCGAAAAATATAAGTAAGCATTAAAGCAAAGTGTTTCATTAGACGCTGATATTAAAGTTGATCTAAATTATAAAAAATATTGAGTACAAGTACAAATTTTAGAGAAAGGTGAAGTTTAATTGGAGCATAATGCAACAAGTATATCTTTTTTACAACAAATAAATGACCTGGACAAACTTAAAATCCCTATCAACAAGAAAAATTAATATATAATAAACGAAACACGGTTTTAGAAATTCTTAGCGTTGTCCTCGAAATGAAATCAACTTTGATATTTTAGTAGTCTTTCCGAAGTCAGTTGAACATGTAAAAAAACGCCTGGCAATAAAATTTTATGACTATCATAGGTGTCCCTAAAAAAAGTTTTCTGCTAAAGATAAAAAATTATAATAATTTGTATATGTTGTATATAATGTGTAGAAAATTTCTATTATATGTTCATTTGGCCAACAACATATTTTAATTATTTATGTCCTCAAACAATTATATTGATGGTAAATTTCGTATTGTTCCGTTCCAAACGGTCTCCAAAATGCCATGTTGTAATAATATTATTTCTCCCTTTCGCAATTGTAATATCAATGATTAATAGAAGGCGCCCATAATAAATTAAAATTACCTGAATCACACCAAATTCCGCATTGCTGTACTGCACTGCTGGACAGTTTGTCAACCACTTGTCAACAGCTGAGATTTATTGCCCAGTCGCCCAACGCAGCTGTGTTTGCATTTTGTTTGCTCTCGCTCGCATTCTTCAACTGGTCGTATACATTTCTACCACCTCCACGTTTAGTTCGACCAGACCTGTATATGGATATGGCTAAATAAATATGAGAACATGTTTTTCAAATATTTCAACGCCGAGTTGCTGCGTCAGCGACCGAACCTGGTACATACTGTCAACCTCTTGGTTCTTCAAATGATATCGGAAAGATTATACACGCAGTGATCTAAATTTATGTTCACAAATTCAACCAGGTGACAAAATAAGCGATTTTAAACAAAAATCTTCGGCGGTGTTAAAAATAATTTAAAATTTCGTTTATCTCATGCATAATTAAGCAGTCACGTAAATATTATATTTTATCGTATATACCATGATTATTTGAATAATTATTATACTCTAGTAAACAGCTTGAGCACGATGCCATTTTTTTCTACTGATTTAAAGTAATGTATCAAGGACAAAGTTTTAAAAACGTTGATTATACGAAAATATTGGCATTAAGTGCAAGTACTAAAATTAGGAATTATTTTATTATTCGACAAACCGGGTTAAATTGCACTTGTTTCAAATTCTGTAGATGTAGGAACCTCTTTAGGAAGTGTGCAACTAGGATAATGCAGAAGTAATCAAATTACGCCCATAATACAACTGTATTGATAACAATTGTCTGTTGATATAACCAACTAACACCACTATATCGGTTGTTAAATAATTCCAGCAATGAGGCATGTCTAGACGAGAATCTGCTTTTTATCAGTATTCAGTACAGAATACTGTCTTTGAATGTTATATTTTTGCCGTTTATCTTCTAACTATTTTTACACGCTAACGTTACTCATAGGTTGATTTATATTTCAACACTCAAAATTTATATAAATAAATGACACACATTCTTGACACATCCTGAAAATTGTTCAATTTGGTGATCTTACCTTCTTAAATTGACCCTGTTTCTGTTACATCCCTTTTAAATATATTAGGAGCAAATAACTTAATTATAAATGCTATTTACCGAAAAATTAATTGTACTGAGATTTATACAATTTATTTTTACAAAATATTATTTTTCATGATTCCTAAAATAGGGGTACGACATCACCGACAATTGTCTTGCCATGAAGATACCCATCAAAAAGATTGCATTTTTATTAACAACTTTTGTCAAGAAATTTTTGCTATATTCATTTATTTAGAAGATACGATCAAATATTTTTGGAAACACAAAAATAAATTTAAAAAAAAATAAATTATAAAAAATTTAAAAAAATCGCTGAAACAGGTCAATTAGTAAATAGAAATCGTTACTTTTTGTAATATTTTCTATTTTTTGAGCCATGTTTGACAGACCTATAACATTACCTAATTTTTTTTTTAATACATACACGCTCTATATTTTATAGTATAAATAAAGACGAATTCAGCGATGTAAGGTTATACCCAAGTTTTTGTCATAGTTGCCAAAAAATGAAGGAATTAAATGAAAATAATTTAGTACTTACTACTTTTTATTTTATTACAGCAAATGTTTAAAGTGGCCTCCAATAACTATTGCACAATGCCCAATTCGGTGTTTAAAGTCATCATTTACATTTTAAATAACATTTGGTGTCATGTTTCAAACTTCTTCTCTGATACGATTTTTCAATCCCTCGATAGTGTCTAGTCTGTTCACATACATTTTGCTTATTAGATAACCCCACAAAAAAATCTAGTGGTGTTAAGTCAGGGGAGCGTAGTGACCATTCAAGCGGCCCTCTTCTGCCTATTCATCGATTTGAGAAAACTTCATTAAGGTAATTTCTTACATCGAGGCGAAAATGTGGAAGTCTTGTTGGAACCAGACATCACCAGCAGGCATATCGTGCTCATTAGGGTTAGGAAAAATTAATTTCAGAGCTGGAATCAGCTGAAAACGCAAATAATCCAAATAAATGTCGTCTGTCAAATTGCCCTCAAAGAAACAAGGTCCTAGTTTGCGATTTCCTACTAGTCCAGTTCAAAGATTTACCGTTGCTTATGTTTTTCTTGCATCCAATATGGATTTTCTGGGCTCCAAAATCTAGTCTGTTCACGGTTCCGTTTAAGCAAAAAGTTGCTTCGTCAGTGAAAATTATGTGATTTTTTAAGTTGGGTTGTCTTTCAAATAAATTTCTAATTTCCTTGCAAAACTGTAATCTTCTGTCTATGTCATCTGCCCACAGTTCTTGTAAGGATGCCACTTTTGAGACTTCAGAGTTCTGTGAACCTAGGACTTCGACAAATTCAAGTAGGCTGAGATAGACTTGAAGGATGAGTGAGGATTTTCAATAACGGTGAGCATCACATTTTTTTTTGACGGTCATTTTCGCTTAGCGTTCCTCGCCTTCCTGATCAAAGTAAATCTTTTATGGTGAAATAAGTCACATACCTCCTGTTGACCACGGATTTTATATCCTTATCCAATCATAACTAAAATTTCAATTTTCTGTTTTTCGTTTAAGCGGGCTGTCATTTTTCAAAATAATTTAACAACGAATGAATTGAAACCAAAACGATTCACGTTATACCTGAGGTACTCTGGTGAATCTTATACAAAAAAAAACTTTCTTTAAAGTAGGTAGAAAAAGATTAATAAAGAGTATAGGTACGTTTTTTAAAGTACAGAAGAGATTATGATTGTTTGAAATAGTCGTCAGTACGACATAAAAGACAATTTTTTACATTTTTTTGATAAAAATGACAGAAAAGTAGGTATAAACTTTTATCGCTGTATTCATCTTTAGAAGGGCTCTCTATTTATACTATAAAATATAGAGCGACCTATTAAAAAATATCGGTAATGTTATGGGTCTGTCAAACATAGCTCAAAAAAATAGAAAATGTTTCAGAAAAGTGAATTTGTATTTACTAATTGACCTGTTTCAGTGATTTTTTAAAATCTGAACTGGAAAAAAAATATGAATTTTGTTGCATCAGTTTGGGATACACAGATACAGGAAATAACACTGCATAATGTAATGTATTTTCTATGTCTTCATTAAATATTATTTTTCTAGCTACTCTCTCTTCAATTTTTCATAAGATATCACGAGGTTATTCCTAGCAAACATTTTGCATTTCTTGTTTCAAGTGATAATACTTCTAAGTGTTCCTTAAAAACTTCCGACATTTATACCAAAATGGTTACGTATTTGATTGAACTGATGTGGGTTTTCAGTAGACAATTTTTTTTATTAAGGATTCCATTACTTTGGAAACAACATTTATGAATTCAAATAATATGTTGGATAAGTCGATGACCAGTAATGTCTACTTGACCTACAAAATTCATCATACTCTTGTCCGGTTGTCCAAAGTTGTGAAAAATTGTCTCGTTGGGATTTCTGGCGAAAGTTGACGTCAAACAAAAAAGTATCTACAAATATATACAAAAGTTGTAGATCATGCAAAAATCTACAACTTCTGTAGAAGCCACTTTTTATGACAACCTTAAAATTTCGAAGAAAAATGCGACAAACGGTTTTTTTTCTTATTTTTCCTTTTCTTATTTCTCATTTATGCAAAAATAATTTAATTTTGACGAAACTTGGTGAAAGAATACCTTTCTGTGTCTTAAATAACCACAATCTTTTTTAGATATTAAAAGCAAGAAGTCATTTTTTCCGGACTGAAACACTTTTTTTTCAAAGAAAAATTCTACTTAGAAAAATTATCGTACAGAGTTATACCAGTAATAATTTTTTTCGTTTTGACATATACTTTTTGGTGAAATAAAAAAATCTGTAATCACAGTTCAAAAACATGCTCAAAAATGCAAAAAAAAATTCCTTACAACAATGAATATTTCAGTAATTGTTGATAATTTGTTTAAATTTGAAAAAATTCAAAAACTGATTACACCATTCAATTGTACGGAGAAAAATAAAAAAAACTGATGTGTCTCATTATTTGACCCAAAACTTTATTTTTGTACAGTAAGTATTGTTATAAACATCTAAATGAAATAGTGAATAAATAAAATAAATATTAATTTTTTTCCGTAGGATCGATTAGTGTACTTATTTTTTTTTTATTTTGATGAATTCATAGATATACAGTATGTCCAATATAAGGATGGGATAGCATTATGATCTAGGAAACGGTAAGAGATACGGGGTGACTCAAATTAGGAAAAGGTGTGTTTTTTTATACCTTAGAATATGCCGTTTAGAAAGTTTTAAAATCCCGAGTAGTTCCGGAGATATCCGGAAAAACCCGAAATTTTGCAAAATCGTTTAATTTTTTCCTGGCTTTATTTGAAATCGAATTTTAAAACAATTTCTGAATTAGATGATATCCCATAAAAGGATTTTTAGCTTGTTTTAGCTATCATTTACAATTTTTCCTGTGTACGGCTCTGAACGCTTCAAAATATCTGTTGGAGGAAGTCATAACAGTATAAAAGTCAATACCGCACAATTTTTTTACTACTATTAGCAATACTAATTAGAAATAATACTTTTTAACTTTTTACTTTTTAAATTATTGATTAACAAAAATTGTTGGATATTTTCTCTTACCGTTTCCTAGATCCTAATGCTATCCCATCCTTATCTTGGACACACTGTATATCTATGAATTCAACAACATTAAAAAAATATATACTAATCGATTCTACGGAAAAAAAAATGATTCACTATTAGACTTAGATGTTTATATAGCAATATTGTACAAAAATAAAGTGTTGGGCCAAACAATGAGAGAATTTTTTTGTATTTTTTTCAGTACAATTGAATGGTATAATCATTTTTTGAATCTATTTTTCTAAACAAATTATCAACAATTACTGAAAAATAAATTCATTTATTTCTCTTTTTGCATTTTTGACCATGTTTTTGAACTGTGATTATTACTTTTACATTACAGTGTTTCAGACCAGAAAAAATGAATACCTTGGAAACTTCGTGATTTTTTTCATCTAAAAAAATTTGTGGTTATTTAAGATACAGAAAGGTATACTTTCACCGAGTTTCGTCTAAATTAAATTATTTTTGCGGAAATGAGAAATAAAAAACGGTTCTTCGCATTTTCGAAATTTTAAGGTTGTCATAAAAGTAACTTCTACAAAAGTTGTAGATTTTTGCATAATCTACAACTTTTGTATATACTTGTAGATACTTTTTTGTTTGACGTCAACTTTCGCCAGAAATCCTAACGATACAATTTTTCACAAGTTTGCACTCCCCCACCCCAAATCAATCCTCCACCACCCGCATCAATTTTTTTCGTTTATTATAAGCCTCTTACCATTGTCCAGGTAACAATTTTCTTTTTTTTTTCACCCTCTAAATGAGTTATTTCCATCGGTCTAATACATCAATATAAAAGACGAATATTCGATTATTATTAATCAACGTGAATTAACCAATGATAGACAATGACAAGCAATCATCTTCCTATATTGTGCGACTGATTCTATTTCCGACAGAGGTTATTAATTGTCCCTGATGAATGAGAAAGAGGCAGACATATTGTCGTTTGTTGTGTGCTTAATGTAGACATGTATTTGACCAATATATTTTAGCCCTGAATTCTATTTGAGAGTTTATTAATAATTTTGATGTTTAATCTCCATAATTTACTACATTAATCTACTTCTACAACCCGGTGTGAGAAAATACAACTTTATTTAAAAATAATGGGAAAGTAACAAGAACTCTTTCCATTTTTCCAGCAATAGTCACAGAATGTGAGACACCGAATCGCGATGTGGGATACTGTGTAGAAATCAAGCACTGTAAGATACTGATGAAGCAAATCACCAATAAGGAGGCGTCTTCATTCTTACGCGCGTCCCGTTGCGGACCACAAAACGAGAATATCTACAATCCAAAAGTGTGCTGTGGAAAGTACGACAACTACAAAACTGTCAGCACAAACAACGGTACAAAAACACCATTAAAATGAATGAGTAAAATTTTCACTAATGCTGTCGGTTTCAGTTAAAGAAGCCGAAGTCGACATATTCCCAAAATCCTGCGGCCAGCAAACTGTAACGTTCGACAGAAGGATAGTTGGTGGCAAAGAAGCTTATCTAGGCGAATATCCTTGGATGGCTCGTATCATTCATAAAAATGAATTTGGGTCGCGGACTGTCGGATGTTCGGGATTTTTAATACACCCCAACTTTGTTCTCACTGCTGCCCATTGCACGCATCCACGTCATGTTGAAATGAGAGGGCCAATGTAAGTAGATATACAGGGTGACCCAATAGTGTGACAAAGTTCAACATTTCCCTTATTATAAAGATTTGAAAAGAAATATTTTACGGAAGTGATGTGCTTAAAAAAGTTCGCATTTAAAAATATTTTGAATTATATAGGGTGACACGGTGGGCAGGAAGCAACTTTAAATCGCATAAAAATGACGACAAAAACTGAAAGCATGTATTTGTACTTGAAAATAGAGTCAGAAGCAGTTTGAATTGAAATCCTAGCTGCCCCTGTTTGTAAGTTCTAATTTATTATTTTTTTTTATAGGAAAATTTTATGATATATCACAATAGGTAAGAATTACGATGGTTAAAAACATTCTTATGGAATTTTGAATAGATAGTGTATTAAATTTTGTATAAGTAATACATTTTAAATAAATAATAACTTAAAATATGAACACACACACACACACACACACGTGCGTGAGCGCAAGTTTATTATTATTTTTTTTAATTACGAAAATTAGTTATTCTATTTTTTTTTCAATCTAACATGTACCGTACGTATTGTATAATTTATCCCCAAGAAAATATAGTTATATTGATTGTAATTAAATGGTGCTTTGCTATCCACATTCGGAAAATTAAAATTTCAAATATACGAGTATATACATATAAGCCTTTTCTTAGCATCGCAGATTTTCTTTTTCTAATTGCAGGTGTCAACAAATATATTTATCTAAATATCGATTGTAGCAGTTTGTTTGGAAATAAAATGTCTCTTCATTCATTCTCTTCTCCATTTGAAAAATATTAATGAACTCCGTAATGCTTTAAAAAGCACAGATGTTTCTCAAACCATGCTATTCTAGATCATTTGGAACAAGCAGTTGTACTCTTGAACAACGATGGCTTAGGAGTATGGTCTGAACAAGCTGGGGACTCGATTCACAGAGTTTATTAAATTTTGGGAAAGATTTAAAACAAATTTGATGAAAATCAATTTTTCCCAAAACAATTAAAAGAAGCAGTAGCTGCTTTTTCATCTCAGCACATTTAAAATTGCATTTGAGATTACTTACTATACCATATAATTTTAAAATATTGACCTTAATAACAAACATTTAATTTTTCTTCTGTTATTCTAAAACTTTAAATATTGAAAAATGATAAAAATTAAAAAAATAAAATAAAAAATGAAAGAAATTACAAAAAAAAAGAAAAAAGAGGCGCAATGAAAGTTACCCCCACGTGGTGCCCCTAGGAAATGTGTAAAATCGGCTAAAAACTTATTTGCAAGGATATATATATATGTTGAACTTCAGATTTCCGCGGATATTATATGTGTTGTCAAGATGTTTCCGGGTTCCTCTCCGCGTATGGTTTTCTTGATTCTGGATAGAATCGTGTTCTGGACGACGTTTCGGCAAGATCACACTTGCCATTTTCAAGTCTTCTTTGTTCTACTTCGTGTAATACGTTGTGAACTGGTGTTTACCTGCTCTGCTGCTGCTTTATATATTATTTTCGCGTTCTCCTTCACTGGTTTTCGCCTCGGTTCGCTGCTCGTTGGTGCGTCAGATGTCATGCTTGGTGAAGCGTTGCGTCGCGCTCTGATGATTTTGTTTGCGAGAATCGGTTTCCAAGCTATTGGGAGCCTTTGTGTATCGTCACGTGTATTTAGATTTTTTGTATGTTTTTCGATTTCTATGGCTTCTCTGATAATTCTTTTGGTTTTATGTTCTATGTTGGCAATGATTCTTGTTTCTTCGAAATTGATTTTATGTCCGGTGTTTTTCGCATGTTGCGCCAAAGAAGAGGTTGCCTGATTCTTTTCTACAGCATTTCTGTGTTCCTCTCTTCGTGTTTGAACTCTTCTATTTGTTTGTCCTATGTATGATTTTTCGCAGTCGCCACAGGGAATCTGGTAAACGCCTTGACCTTCGAGTGGAATCTTCGTCTTCGCTGATGGAAGAATGTTGCCAATTTTCCTGTCGGTATTGAAGACAGTTTCAATTTTATGTTTCTTCAGTACTTTGCTGATTTTGTCAGTGGTTCCTTTTATATATGGAAGGAGTGCTTTGGCAACTGGTTTATCTTCTTCGGTCCGTTCTCTATTGTGGCGTGGTCTTAATGCTCTCTTGATGTTGTTATCCGAGAAACCATTTTGTTGAAGAGCTTTTTTAACTTTTTCGATTTCTTCTGTTTTGTGTTCGTTGTCAGTCAGCCTTTCTGATCGTGTTATTAG